GGGCTTGGAAGTACGGCACGAGTCTTCGTGTCAAGGTGACTAAGGCGAGAGCCAACTTCTCCATTTAAGGATACCTGGTCTCAACCTCGGTAATGGCCTTACTTGTGTAGTAAACCGGACTCTGGCGTACTCCTTCTTACTTGATCAAGGTCGAGCTGACCTTGAGTTGATCAAAAGCTTCCTCACACTCGGACGTCCATTCGAACGATCTCTTATTTCTCAACACTTTGAAAAAGGGGAGGCACTTGTTGGTAGACCTAGAGAAAATCCTATTTGGAGCAGCAACTCTCCCATTTAAGCATTGCAGCTGCTTAAGGGTTTTTGGGGCTTGCATTTCGAGCACGACCCTTATTTTCTCTGGGTTAGCTTCTATACCTTGGTTGTTCACCATGAAAGCAAGGAATTTCCCAAATGAAATTCCGAAGGCACACTTGACTGGATTGAGCTTCATCTGATACTTGCGAAGAACTTCGAAGGTTTCGGTCATGTCGACCAGGTGCGTCTTGGACTGCTTGCTCTTGACAAGCATATCGTCCACATATACCTCTATATTGCATCTGATCTGGTCGGCGAGCATTTGTTTACCATGTTCTGATAAGTTGTGTCTGCATTCTTTAGGTCAAACAACATGACCTTATAGCAATACAAGCCTTGATCCGTTATAAAGGAGGTATGAGTTTGATCTGGTTCATGCATCTTAATTTGGTTGTATCCGGAGTAAGCGTCCATGAAGGTGAGCATTTCGTGTTCGGCCGTAGCGTCTAAGAGCTGGTCGATCCTTGGAAGTGGGAAACCATCTTTTGGGCAAGCCTTGTTAAGATTGGTGAAGTCTACACATATTCTCCACTTTCCGTTGGATTTTTTAACTAAGACAACATTAGAAAGCCACTCGGGATACATAATTTCTTTTATGTATTCAGCTTTAAGTAATTTGTTTACTTCATCGACAATTACATCACTCCTCTCCTTATTTACAGGTCTTCTCTTTTGCTTAATAGGTCAGAATGATGGGTCAATGTTGAGGCGATACACCATAATCTTTGAATTGGTGCCTGACGTGTCTTCATATGCCATGCAACACGTCCGAGTTTGATCTAAGGAATGAAATGAGCTTTTCCCTATCAACGACCCCCAGCTTGGTGCCTATGCTCACTTGCTTCTCCGAGCTGAGCAGAGGGACAAGCTATGGCTCTTCAGTGGGTGCAGCCACTTCACGCTGGTTGTTCTTGAGTTGTTCGTCCTCGGAGGGTGGGGTTTTCAGGCTTGGCAAAGTTGCCTCCTTCTCCAAGGCACAAACTACCGATCCTTTGAGTGCCAAAGTATAGAACTCTTGGGATGTCTTATGTTCTTCTCGGATCATCCCAACCCTGTCGAGAATTGAGTATTTCATGACTATATTAAGGGTTGACGGAATGGCCCGAAGTGAATGGATGATGGACCGTCCGAAGATGGCATTGTAAGCTGATCTGCCATCAATCACCACGAACTCGCCCATCTGAGTGACTTGGGTGTCACCTTGGCCGATTGTGATGGGGAGGTCAATACATCCTTCAGGGGTGATTGATTCCCCTACGAATCCAACCAAGGGTGTTGGACTCTTCTTGAGCTGTGCTCTGGTCCATCCCAACGTAAGTAAGTGGTGAGGGATAGGATGTTGGCTGAAGCACCTCCATCAACCAGCACCCTTTTGACCTGTACGTGGCCGATCAGCGGTGAGATTACCAAGGCATCATTATGGGGTAAGTGGACCCCTTCCAAGTCAGAGTCGGAGAAAGATATCGGGCAGGTCGGCTTCTGCTCCTAAATGGTGCAAACTTCGCTCCGAGCTTCTCTGGCTAGCTCCTTCCTTTTGTTTCCGAACTGACCCCCACTTGGGCCTCCGAAAATGGTATTTATGACCGAAGGTCGGTCATCTCACCGAGGCGGCATCCTTGAACACTTCCTCTCTTGTCCTTCTTTTCATTTCTTGAAGTATCCATCTTGAATTAAATCTTCAATCTGACGCTTCAACTCCCAACAACTCAAGATATCGTGGTCGTGGTCTCCGTGGAAACGGCAATACCTGTCCTTGTTGCGCTTTTCTAGATCTCCTCTAAGCTTCTTAAGCCGATTGAAGAGTTTCTTCAACCCTGTCTCTTCGATGTTGATAAGGATCTCTGAGATGGGGATGGTTGTTCGAGTGTATCCCTCGTAAGGTCCTCTTTGGTTGGAATCCGAATCCGACCTTTGGTAATCAGATCGGCCTTGAGATGGTTGAAAAGATGATCCTTTGTCCTCAGACTTAGAATCAGACTTCCTTTTATCCTGATTACTTAGACTTCTTCTGGTCGAACCTTTTTTCTGTCCGACCTAGCTTCGTTCTGAACAGTTCTTGTCTGTCGATCACCTTCTTAGCCTTCTGCAAGACTTCAGCAAAAGTGGACGATGCTTCCTCTCCCAGCTTGACTGCCAAGGTCTTGTCGGTCAGGCTGGTGAGGAAGTAGCACATGGCCGAATCGTCAGAGCAGTGTGCGACTTTGAGCTACTCCTCCTGGAAGCGGGTCACGTACTCCCTTAGAGTCTCGCTTTCCTTCTGTCTAATGGTGGCGAGGTGCGTGGCCAATTTCGTATCATAGTGCCGAGAAGAGAATTGGCTGATAAAATCTTTCTTCAGCTGGTTGTAGGTCGAGATCGACCTTGCGGGCAGCCTTCTATACCAGAATCGAGCACTCCCTGTTAAGGCAATCTGGAACGATCGCGTCAGATGCCGCCTAAAAATCCATGAGGCCTTCAAAGACCTCAACATAATCTTTTGGGTCGTTAGACCCATCATAGGGCTTCATGGCAAGCGTGAACTTAGGAGGGATAGACACCTCCAAGATACCCGATGTGAATGGCGACTCGCCCATTTCGCCGTCATCGAATGGGTTACCCTTCTTTTCGCACTTTGCCTTAAATGCCTTGACTTATGCGTCAAACTTGTTTTTCATCAGGTCGAACTCTTCTCTCGTAATCACCCCCTTTAGTGTGAAGGGGTTGTACCGAAACTGGGTTTGAAGTTGGAATTGGAGTACT